CATGTACAACCACCTCAAGTCCCCTAAATACCACCCAGCTCTGAGCCCCAGTCCAACACCTGTCCACTGGTGCCATGTACAACCACCTCAAGCCCCCTAAATACCACCCAGCTCTGAGCCCCAGACCAGCACCATGTACAACCACCTCAAGCCCCCTAAATACCACCCAGCTCTGAGCCCCAGACCAGCACCTGTCCACTGGTGCCATGTACAACCACCTCAAGCCCCCTAAATACCACCCAGCTCTGAGCCCCAGTCCCACACCTCCTCTGCCTGCACACACACAAAAAAAACGTGCTCTTACTGAGGGGAGTAAGGAGAATTAGACTGTGTTGGAGAAATGTTTTAGCAGTATCTCTTGCAATGCCAGTGAATTTTACATTGGGTTTGATGATCTGAGTGGCAGAAGAAGGGCATCACAGAGACGCAGGCAGCAAGAGGATTTGAGAACAAGACATCCCACACAAGCCCAGAAAAAACACAAGGCTATAAAAACAACCTTCACACAACATCTGAAGGGCAGAATGACAAAATACAGAACCAGTGAGAAGACAGGCTCAGTGACCATAGCCTGGCCACAGAAACTGAACACTGGCAGACCTGGCTGCATAGAGCGGACAGGCTTAGTCCACTGTCCAGTGACCACAGCCTGGATAGAAACTGGACACAGACAAACAACAGGCTGTGCTCCCACTGCCAGCACAAAGAAGGAGTCAAAGCTGAACTTCTGGACCACTGGGAAAAATATAAAGGAATCAGGGATGTGCGTTTCTCTAAAGTAGGGCAAACACATGCAAAACTACCGATTCCCTGAACAGTCATCTCTCACAGATTACTTCCTAGCATTGAATTAAGTGCAGTCAAGAAACCCAAATTAGTAAAATAGGAAACCCCTACAAGCACAAAACATGGAACAAAGGATATCCGAGCTTCAGCAAGTTAAGTTCTCCCTTTAAATCAGGAAAACCACAGCACAGGTCACTGAACCAGAGGAGGAAAGGGACGGTGACGCCCAGAGAGGTGACCGTGCCATTTCTACAGAACAAGAAGTTAGTGGTTGTCCTTGAACACCAACCCTGTTCACCGCATATAAGGCCAAACTCCTGAATGCCATTACCTTTATCATACTGATCGCATGACACTCACTCTTTCTCACTCTGAACTGGATTTCTGAGCAGCCCTCTGGCACAAAGCAGACACACCAGAACCTCTTTGACAAATAACATGTCACACCGGGCTTCAGCCTGCGCGTCCTGGCAGCCCACACTCCCCAGCAGTCAGCAGATCTGTGTCAGGAGTGCAGACTGTATCCTGCCAGGTGGTTTCCCCACAGTCAGACCAGCCTGTGTCACTCTCAGGCAAAAGTACACATTGGATCTGTACTTAATTTTTCTTGTCTTCTTACTCCACTAAATGTCCCAGAAGCATCTTATCTGGGATAGTGTCCACACGGGCTGGATTCTCACTGGGTAAAGTGGAGATGCCCGTGCTGACTGCTTTCGTGATGCACTATTCTGAAGCACAGCCACAGGCCGTGCTGTTTTATAAAATATCCATTCAACAAGCACAACAATACCGCTAAAAAGGAACACAGGGGATCTATGTGCAACGTCTTTAAGAGGACAGTAAAATAGGGATGTTAAGGAGGGAATTATTTCCCAAAGAAATAACTGCACTAGGATTTTATGGGGACTGGGAGCATGTTAAGATTACCCAGAGGCTCAAATGCAATTTATTTTATTCTAACAATCAGTGTCTTTCAACAGGAGGGGAGACAAGGACGTGACAACAATTTTACACTAGTATACAGTCACAGCGTCTGTGCGTAAACCGAATGATTACTGAGTTTAGGGGTGTTATCCTGGCCTCCTAATAATGCCCAGCTCTGAGCTGGCTTCATCACTCCGAGAGCGATGTGTGTGTGGGTGTGAGGAGTGTACTGGTGCACTCTGGCCATCACACCATCCAGGTTGGGCCGCACACTGGTGGAGGGGAGTCCCTACTGCCTGGAAAGCACTCTGAGTGGAGTATCCAGAAAAGTACTATGTAAGTACAAGCAATTATTATTATTAGTAGCAGTAGTATCCCATTACAATGAGCACTTTTAATTTAATTTAAAAGTTCAAAACCTTTTAGAAACAGAATTTCAAAACTAAACAATGAGAGCTTGAACAACATTTTTAAACATTTGTTTAAACCGGCTTAACATTTGAATAAATTTTAACACGCAGTGTATCGCATACATATAGCACACATGAAGATGAAAGCAACAGGAAAAAAGTGTTATAAAGAAAAATACTGTATGAAATACTCTTATAGAGTATAACATGGTTACTTTAATATAGAACTACATAAAGTTACATTAAATACTGTACATATGATAAACAGGAAACTATATAGAGTAAAGTTAGTTATTTTAAACTTGCTTGTGCTTCTCTGTTTCTGTGAATATCTTTGTCAGGGCACAGAGGTGCTCAGAACAAGTAAGGTCAGGGCATAGATGTACAGCTAATTTCAGCTTCTTTTCTAACACCCATACAAAAGAACACAACAATACACAATACAATATCTATAATGGATTTCTATAATACAAAGCTATTTTGCAATGATTTTACTAGACATTTGCCGTTTCTGTGGTCAGTTAATGTCAAGTCGGGGTATCTGTACGTTACACAGACCCCTGTACATCAGTGCAGGGAGAGTCAGGGAGTGGGAGTCACAGCCTACATTCAATCACCAGCCAACGTCAGGAAACACGGAGGTCTTTCTTTCTATATGTCAATAGATGTGATCGATGTAGCTGCGTTTTACACCCGTTTTGAACAAAACCGCGGGAGCACCTCAGCTGATCAGCAGAGGTGTGAAGGCAGTTCAGGACAGTTAAAGTAAGGAAAAGCACAGGTCCACATAATGGAAAGAGTCATGTGCC